GTGTGGCTGTGAGGAGGCTGGGCTCCTGAAGCCCCCTGGCCCCCCTCCCGCACCTGGGCTCTGGGACTGGCCTGAAAATCGCTCAGGTGCTAAAGTGATAATAGTCATCACAGTAAATCCATCTCCAGTTCCCTCGTGCTGTCGTGGGCATAAACCGGGAACATCGCTTTGAGGAAAATATATTAAAAAAAATAATTGACACAGTGGTGGTTTCATCCTGGGTGAGAAGCACCTTCTCGTCTCCTCCAGCAGTGCCCGGAGAGGGCCCAGCCAAGGCTTATGGAATTGCTGCTGCTACCGGCTGCAGAGTTGGGAGAGTGGGTACTGGGGGGTATCCTAGGGGCAGCTGAAGAAAGGCCTAGAGGGTGGGGTGGCTTGGATTTCGGCTCAGTGGTCACTAGAGTGTAAACGGGGTGAACGTTTTTTGTGCCGACCCTTCTAAACGTGACCAAAGAGGGCGGTTAGGGGGCCCGGCCAACCCACTCCCCAGGCCTGAATGAGGGGCTCTCTGGGGGGGGGGTCCCCTGGAACCCCCTGCTGGGTGATCCCGGGACCTCCTTCCTCGCCCCAGGGGTGCAGCCACAGCGGGGTCCGCGGCTCTTAGGCATTTCTGATTGAGCTGTCACGGAGAAGGTGATTTGTCCTGGAAACGAGGCCTTATCTTCCAGGATAGCTGGCCGTCCTCCACGAGCTGTCCTGGGATGTGTGGTCCGTGGGACCGAGCCACCTGGTGTTGCTTCCGGAAAGGGTGCGGGCTGTCTGAGAACATTCCGGCTGTGGCCAGCTTTCTGGAGCAGACGGCTGCAGTGGCTCGCCCCCCCCCCTTTTTAAACTAAGGTAAATGGGCTCTCAGTGCGGTGGGGAGGGCCCGGGGCGGGGGAGAGAGCCGCGAACCTGCTGACCTGGGTGCACTGGGGCGGGGCTCTCCCGCCAGCCGCTCTCCTGAGTCTAGTGAGCTCAGCCGTCAGAAGTCATCTGGCTCTGACGTACGTAGCCCTTTGGGTGAATGGAACCTCACTTAAGGAACCTCCTCAGCTGTCGGTCTGGCTGCCTCTTAGAACGTCTGCTGAAAGCAGAGAAAAGCCATCCTTGTGAGTGCCCGGCCTGTAACTCCGGAACCCGTAGTGCCTGGAAGCCTGCGGGCCTGGAGGGATCCTCCCGTGGTCTCCCGGCGGAAGCGGGTCTCTGTCCATCCTGCGGCCGGACCTGTGCCAGGGCCACGTGGACGCAGTGTGCTGGACTCACGCTGGTGGGGAGCGGTGGCACAGCGGCCACTTTGAAAGAGAATAAAGGCAGTGGGACCAGACAGGTCGCAAAGCTGTTTCCTAAAATAGGAAACAGAGCGGCAGCGGCACTGATCCCTGCCGCGACAGCTCGGGAGAGAGTGTTAGGAGGGTAGTTGAACTGGTTAGTGTAGGTGACGTGAGGTCTTCCCCGGGGAGGAGAAAGGAGATGGGCCTGAGGGTGCCGTTTTCTCTCCTTAAATGACTACCCTTATTTGAAATGTTGCTTGATGCAGCCCTTTCCTCTTTCAGATGTCCCTCGGGACCGGGCACAGCGCTGGGGTCTGCCTGCATGTCACCCTGGAACCCAGCAAGCACTGTGGCTGCAGCCGGCGCTGGCCGGCCTGGGCCAGGCACCTGAACCCACTCTTCAGCCCGGCCCGGGGACCCCCACGGGGGCTCTTGTGGACATCGTGTTTTCCATTCATGGGCTCTTTGACCAGAGTGCTAAGAGAGCACGTCATGCTGAGCTCAGTTTTGTTCCATAGTCATGTCATGATTCACTCCTGATACCTGTCGCGCTCTTTCCTGGCGCCAGGGGGTTCTTCTGCTCCTGGAGCCTGTTCAGAACCAAAGTCTTGACCGCCTTGCCCCCTGCCTGCCCCGCTCCTGCTGATTCCGTAAATGGGGAGCCGCCCAGTGAGTCCCAGTAGACGTCTAGGGTCATCCTTGCTACCTCTCTCTTCTCCACATCCAGTCGGTCACCAGGCCTTAATGATTCTCCCTCGAAAACGGGCCCTGCGTCCACCAGCTTCCTCTCTCTGCACTTCTGGCAGCCAGGGCCCCGGTGACCACCCTGAGTGCCTCGTGGCCGCTCTGCCCCTGCTGCTTCCAGCCTGGGGCTCTGGTGTAGGAATGGGACTGAGACCTTACGAGCCCTCGCTGCTGCCCTCTGCCCACCTGAGTCAGGGACCCCCTTTATTAAACATCCCCAGGTCCCTGTACGTCCCCTTCAAAGAACTTGGATTTTCAACTACACTTGTTTTTTTAGGGGTGATTTTCCACCTTCTCCCCTAGGAGGTTAATACCCTGAAGGTGCAGGGAAGGGGTCTCTTATCCTCAGTTCTAACATGCAGAGGACGCTCAGTAAATACTTGTTAATAAATGAATTTTAATTGGATGCAGATTAAAATTAAAGTAATTGCTGGGACTACTTAGGTGGGTGATTCCAGACTGTAGTGGTTTATTTAAAAACATTTTTTTTTGGCCACACGGCATGGGCATGAGGGATCCTAGCTCCTCGAGCAGGAATTGAACCGGCACCCCCTGCAGTGGAAGTGCGGAGTCTTAACCACTGGACCGCCAGGGAAATCCCTTTAGTGGTTTATTTTAAATTTGGCTGAAAATGCGTGAGCTCTGTTCCAGTGGTTGTCAGGCTTAACTCTTGGCCTTTGGGGCTGGGTAAGTCTTTGCCCGGGGGGGCCGTCCTGTGTGCTGTAAGGTGCAGGGTGGTGCTCCTGGCCTCTACCCGCTGGATGCCAGCGGCGGTGCCCGATGTCCCCCGGAGGCAAAGTTCCCCCAGGGGTGAACCGCTGGTCTGCACCCAGGGATCCTCTCCCTGAGACACCCGCCTTGGCCAGCGCTCACCTGAGGGCGGGCGGGGCGGGAACTCCCCTCCCATATTCAGGGGCTGGACGCGCGGGCAGGGGCGCTGTGGTCCTGTCCAGCTGAGCCCACCGCAGGCAGAGCTGGGTGCTGCAGACCTTGGTAAACAGTGCGGCGTGGTTCCTGCTTGCAGGTGGCCTCCTCCCTGGGAAGTGTTTTCGTACCTGTAAAGGAGGCCTGGGAGTGAGCTGCAGTCTCAGAGAGGAGGTCAGATCAGTAAGAAACAACCTCATTTCCGTGGTGGTTTCTGACTCTCCAGCAGGCTGGGAAGCAGGCTCAGTGGGGCGGGCAGGTGTGCCCAAGCTCCGGAAGAGCCCCCGTGGTGGGAACGGAGCCGTCCTCGGTCATGGGCCGGGGGGCTTGTGTGGGAATCTGCATTCTCGGGTGGGGGGTTGGGGGTCCCTGAGGCTGCCCCGGCTGCTTCCTGCCTCAGTTCCCAGCTCCCATAGGCTGTGTGGTTCTAGACTTTTCCTTTAGGAGCTTCCTAGAAAGCAGGTTCCTGGCACCCACCCAGAGCCCGTTCTCCGGGAGCGGAGCCCGGGAGTCTGCGTTTCAGCCATTTCCCCGGGTGCTTTCTATGGTGGCCGTGTTTGAGAACAGGCCGGACCTTGTCTGTCCTTGTGGGATTTGGCCTCTTCTCCTGAATGCACTCTGAGACTTTGACCCATCACGCTGACACCGACCAGGGCCCTGAGTACTCGTCTGTAAAGGCTGCACCAGGAAGTGACCTTAGACCAGGGGTTGGCAGACTTTCCGTGAAGGGCAGAGAGTAGACCTTTCAGGCTCTGCAGGCCATGGGGTCTGCGTTGCAGCTACGCATCTCTGCCACGAGTGCGGAGACAGCCTCCGCCCCGCTGGACGTGGATGGGTGAGACTGCCATCCAGTCAGTTTCTTTACAAAACAGCAGCTGGCTGTGGACAGCAGTTTGGCAGTTACTCAAAAGGTTAAACACTGAACTACTACGTGACCAGGCAACTCTCTGCCTCGGCGCGTATCCAAAAGAGTTGAAAGCAGGGACTTGAACACCTGTGTGTATAAATGTACATTAGTCACAGTAACTGGAAGGTGAACACGACCCAGGGGTCTTGTCCATCGACAGAGGAGCGGATAAACACAATGCGGTACGTTCATACAATGGAATAATGTTCAGCCATAAGAGGAGTGATGTTTTGGTTTGTGCTACAGCGTGGATGGACCTGGACGACATATGATGAGTGAAATAAGCCAGTTACTAAAGGAAGGATGTTACATGATTTCCACATATGTGAGATCCCTAGAGCAGGCAAATTCATAGATGGAAAAGTGGAAGAGATGTTGGGAGCGGGGCCTGGAAGGAGGGGTTCCTGTTGGGTGGGTACAGAGTTTTTGTTGGGATGATGACAAAGTTTTGGGTGGAGTGCGTGGTGTTGGTTGCACAACGTCGTGAACGGATATGATGCCCGTGAATTGCACACTTTTGAATGGTTACGGCGATAGGTAGTATGTTACGTACATTTTACTACAGTTTAAATAATGGTTTTAAAAAGAACGTGGCTCTTGGGCAGCGGTCTGCAGACCCTGCTTTAGACCAGGCTCTGTTAATTTCAGTGTGGGGTTAGGGTTTAGGAATGATGGGGCCAGCCAGAGTGATGGGCTTCTCAAAGAAGGGGGCTGGGCTCTTTGGATGGATAATTCGTTAAAGCTTTTGGTCAAACCTAAAGGTGCCTTCCGTCATCCCAAGAGAAGGGATTGTCAGTGTCGGCCTCATCATCTGAAGCTCAGAGCCTGCATTGGCTCAGTGCTACCTGAGGGTTTTCAGATAATGATTGGAGTCTCTCTCCTCCCTGCTTACGACAACCCCACGACATGTAGATGCATTTGAATAACCACGGACTGAAGACATGGGAAGGCCTAGAATTTAATTATGTGACATTAAAGTGAGCTCGTGTGTGTGTGTGTGTGTGCGTGCGCGCGCGCACGCACGCACGCATACGTACACTTGTACACATGTGTACGTGCGTTTTAGTAATTTTCTCAGCCGTGTGAAGCTGCTTATCTCCCGGCCACAGTGCCTGTGCCTGTGGCCAGGTGACCACTGCGCACACATTCCTCACGTCTTTGAACTTTTCCAGGGAGCGCATGGAACTTTTGGAGGAAGCCAAGAAGATGGAGATGGCCAAGTTCCGTTACATCCTGCCCGTGTACGGCATCTGCCAGGAGCCCGTGGGCCTGGTCACGGAGTACATGGAGACAGGCTCCCTGGAGAAGCTGCTGGCCTCTGAGCCGCTGCCCTGGGGCCTGCGCTTCCGCATCATCCACGAGACGGCTGTGGGCATGAACTTCCTGCACTGCATGGCCCCGCCTCTTCTCCACCTGGACCTCAAGCCCGCCAACATCCTGCTGGACGCCCACTACCACGTCAAGGTAAGGACGTGAGGGGACCAGGTGGCCGGAGTGGCGGATGTCCTGGGTGGGGGGCCGCGGGGCTGGAACCTCAGGGCCAGCGAGAGGGCCGAAGAGGAGGTGGTTCCCTTGCGGGAAAGAACTCAAAGCAGAGGCCTCTCTCAGCATCAGGGTCCCCAGTCTTGCCACGTGTGGCTGGTATAAACGCCACAGATGTGTAACTGGAAAATGGACTCTTATGAACAAGGGTCACTCCCCCAAGTCCTGGATCAGGACTCTAGGTTCTGGGCACCCCGGAAAAAGAGGCTGTGGACTTGTGGATTCCGGTCGTACTGGCCGTCTTACAAAATCAGATTGGAAAGCGGACCTCGGCTTGGCCGTCTCTGTGTGGGGCTGGGTCAGCCTGTTTCCCCTTGGTGGTTCCCGGGCTCAGGGTGATGGGAGTCTCGGGGTGCTCGGAAATGGGGCTGCGGCGTGTTGTGGATGGAGAGGGGCCCTGGCGGGACTCATTCTGTTCTCTTCCTTCAAGGCCTGTGAGCTCTGATTTTTTTTTTTTTTTTTTTTTTT